GGGGGGGGGGCAGAACAAAAACAGCCGGCACCTCGCAGTTGAAAGCTGTGAGGTGCCAATTTTGGTGGGTGGGAGCTGTTCTAACTTGAAGCATACATTCTTTCAACCCTGGGTTAGGAAAAGGTACCAGTGGATGAGAGAGGAATAGCAATACTCCCGGATCAAAAAGTAAGGCGCCCGTTGAAAACCCCGGTTCGGGGTACAGCTCATAATTGCTTTTTGATATCACATTCAATAGCCTCTTCTTTTTTGGATCCCCCGGGGGTAACCTATTATGATCCTGAAACTCTTCTTTTTTGATTGCTTTCCCCAGTCTATCGGAGTCTATTGTACATTGTACAGTCTATTCATCATGTTATCCTTTTTGCGAGTGGGAAATGGGCGGATCACCCCAACACCCCCCTCTTCACTTCGTGCCTACTTTAGCCGCCGCCCAGGGGAATTGTCAGTCTGTGCCCTTGAGCTCTGTGGAGACCACCTCCACGGGTTTGCGGCTCACCTTTGCAGGTGCCGTTCGAAGTCGAGAAACGCGATGCCGCGATGCCATTGCTGGGAGAAGATAGAGGGGTATGGTGCCCTTCCACCAAGGTCCGTGAATAGGTCCACGTCCTCCATGGTTATAGACATGTTTAAATGTTTTATCATTGTTTTCCTTTTTGGGCATGACTTTGCGCTTGAGAGGAGGGCTGATTTTTGTGTGGTTCAGGTCGAAAATTGCGAGAAGATCTTGTTGGCTGGTAATGAGAATAGAGATTGTCAGACAATGTAGTAATATATTATACACTCCGTTGTTTTGGTGCGGTTTTGCTTTCGATGATGAGGATTTGCCAGAATCTCTTGCGAGATCTCGCACCAGGATACATGTATACAACAACTCTTTGTTTCAATTCTGTGGCTTTGGGATGGGACGTCCTATTTGACGCGATGGGACGTCCGCTAGGCACATTGCTTCGCCCACTTTGCTGATCATTTTGCTGCTGAAACACGCTGTACCATGAACAATTGCAGCCTGTGCATGAAAGAAACCCTGGTTTGCATTTCTGAATCCATACTGTGCCATGCAGATGATTCTGAATCCATACGGTACTCTTTGGTCGCTCCTGGACCCACAGATGGAGACATTCAGTCCCGAATCGGCGAGGTCGAACGGGGTTTCTCACCAATCCCCATCGGTTTGGAAAGACTAAGGACCGGTGCAGGCGTCCCGTGACACCGAGCGTTGGGGTCAAAGCCATTCTTTTTGGCCGGGTTTTCGTCCGTTCCATCTGCCGTGCGTCGTGCCTCCGGCGGCGGGCCGAGTGTTCGTCGCAGGAAGTACCTCCTCTGGAGGTGGTCTGGGCGAGTTGGGCCTTCGTAGTGGCGATGTGCTGGTGCTGGGCGCTGGCGTTCAGCCCCTTTGTCACGGGGCGCGGGTCCGATGGCAGGACGGTCACTGAAAGGGCGAACGAAAGATGGATCGCCCAGGGGTCGCCCTTAGCTGGAAGACGTTCTTCCTTTGGGTGTGGCCTCTTTGGTCCCTGTCTTTGGTTTGCTCCTTTGGGAAATACATATAATATATATATATATATATTATGTAAATATCTATATATAGTGTATATATATATATATATCCGGGTCAACATGGGTAAACACCGTGCTGAAAGGTTCCTTTTTTTGCCTTGAGTGTGTATATACCCTAACCATCATTGGACCTTCCTATGGAGGGTTTGGACCCTGCTTGGAAGGCAGGGGTTCGGACCCTCCAAACCTTCGCCGGCTGAGGGTCCTTGATTCTCAGGGTAGTATCATATTGTGTCACTTTTGCCCACGTCTCCTTCAGCGTCTCTGGTGTGCACTGCCAGTGTGCACTTCGTCACGACCCCCCAAACATCCATCCGTGGAGACGGACACCGGGGCGTGCCGCCCACGAGAAACGCCACGCCTTCGCCACGCTCCGGAAAGTCGGACACCGGTGCGGTTCGAGATCCGAGAATTTAGGCACTTCTCAGCCTCCAACCTAATAGCGTCCGATCGCTCCTAGTAGCGATGCCAGGAGCCCCTAATAGCGAACCTTGCTCCTATAGTAGTAAGGCCAGGAGCCCCTAGTAGCTTCTTGCTCCTGGAGCCCCTAGTAGCGTCCTTCCTCCTGGAACAGAAGTGCAAATCTCTTATCACCTGACAAAGGCCATTCATATTCCTGGAGAAAACGACTGCCTGCCTTACAGCGTTGGTTCGCTTGAAGAACCTATGGGGTCCTCTTCCAACCTAATATGGAGTGGAGAAATCCCTTGAGATACGCCCATGGGGTCGCCCTCTCTGTGTTGTCAGAAATACCTGCCACCTGCCACCTGAGGTGTGGTGCCAACTGCTCTCAGCCCATGTTAGACATGGCCAAAGGCTTCCTAGGCTTTCAAGGCCCGGGAAGTCTGGAAACATGGGCAGTTGAAGGAGTTCTTCTGAGACAGATTATCATCCTGTGACAACATGTCACATGTCTCACACTTTTTTTTGTTCAATGGGGCATCTCCATTCTTTCAATCAAACATCTCCAGTCACTGCTGCGGTTTCCTGCACGGCAACTGTATAGCTCTTTCCATCCAATGTAGAGTAGGAGTCTTATGTTAACTGTCCAATCCCAGCTGTAAGAGTCAGCCATGAATGGTTTCATGATCGATGCTTGTATAAGAATCATAAGAAGATAGTGGGACTTTGTGATTACGTGAAAATTGCTAATTCACATTCACACAAAGCGTGCAAAACTGGGGCCTCCAGCGCGTCCAGTTCTGTGTAAGAGAGCTATGTGTTTAGTGTTCAGTTTTTTGCAGTGCCCGCCAGCGGTGTCCAATTTGGTGCAATCTCGAGACTTGTTGGACACGACTCTATCTTGGGTGGAAGAACTCGCAGAGAGCTCTCAACAGACCACGAAGAAATCACTTTATAGACCTTTAAATGTAGAAGACTGTCGGCTAATCTTTGTGGTTTTGTGTTAACCTTTTTGAGGGATTCTGCACATTTTTCAAGTTTGCTGCAGAAGGCTTTCTTTGCCAAGCCAAAACCACAAAGTTAACCCTTTTAGTGACAACCGAAAAGCAAAGCAAACACAAGAAACCTTTAACACATCTATATGTCCAAATTGAGGTCTTCCGAACCAGCTGGGACGACCAGCTGGCGTGACCAGTTCGAACTGTTGGATCGACCAGTTGTTTCGGTGTGTCGATTCCGAAGGTCTTGAGAGCTATTTGCCCTTGGACGATGGATCTTTGCAGACGGCCCTGGACGTGGTAGGTTCTCGCACGGCGAGCTACATAGGCGACGCGACCAGCTGCCGACCATGGCGATGAGCTGTGCATTTGCACACCATGCTTGGCCACCAAACCCTGAAAGAAACACCTCATGCCCCAAGGACTTTCACATGCTTTCACCAGGGTCACAGGTCGTTGTCCTGCAGGTCCACTAGTTCCATTTTGTTGGACTCTCCAAAGCCAGTTGGCTTGATGGTTGGCCAACCTCTTTTTGCGCGTAGGCTCTGTGGAGAGTATCACGGGAAAGTTCGGCACCGCCACACGCTTCAGTGCTGGATCCTCCCTTAGCCTCGACCTCAGACCCATCAATCTGAAGAGACCGAAGCGGATGAGGCGCAGTGATCAAAAAGAAAGAGGACATCCATGTGCAGATCTGCGAATTTCAAGATGTGCAGATCGCGGGGTGGTCGGTGAGAAAGTGGACTCCGAAGTGTTTTAAAACGGGTCTTCCGCTGAACACATTCTGAACTGCCTTTGTCACATCCCTCAAGAGTACGATGAGAGTCCGGCACCCATGGATCTTGCGCGCCGTCTCGGTGTCTCAGGTCTCCCGGGGGGCGCTCCTATGGAGGCCTCACAAGCCTGGACGTTGGTGCTTTGGGTCCGGATCGAGCCACTGGATGAGAGGGTTGGGGAGAGCGGGGTGTCCCATTGCTTGGATAACGTATTTTGGATTCGTACATTTTCAGCAGCAAGGGCATGTCTCACATGTACTTCACAAGGGTGGGCCGTGCAGGAACTTGCTTCTGGTAACATAGGTTAATGAGACCCTGTGTATCAATACTGGTTAAGGATAGATCTGCACCCTCCAGTTACGACATTGGACCCGACATTGGACAGTACAAATGGACACGAGTTAACATGTCAAGGTCCAACGGGTCCCAGTCCGGAGGCGTTGTAACACATCCTTAACCATGACCTTCTAAGCGCCGAGCGGGCGCACCGCTGGGCGTCAGCCGCGTCAGCCGGTTCCCAGGAAGGCTGGCTGGTACACGATTTGTGGCGTGGCGGACTCGGACGGTGTGCTGGAGAATGGCGAGGTGGAGATAGGTGGGGTGGGAAGCGGAGAATGCATCGGCTCAGCTACTAATCCGGCTTGTAGGTCAATCTTGATGCTCTCCTTACACGAAATCGGCTGACATTGCTTTTGAGATCGGCTGTTTGGTTCGATGCTGCCCAACCCAGCTTCATCGCCTGCCAGGTTTGGCTTCCGCTCCCTGGGCTGAGGGCGCCCCCTTTTTGCGGCAGGAAGGCGGCCCTGGCGCCGGCGAGCAGGCCATGGCTGGGCGGCGAACGGGGCGAAGACGCAATCCTGGTCGTGGCAGCTTGCAGCTTCTTGTTAGGGTCAAAAGGTTGTCTGCGTGGCATGACGGGACATTTCATCAGTATCCACTGATCTACAGTGCAAACTAAACTTTATGACTTTATGTCAGGCTTTTACAAGAAGAAACCTTATAAACGGACAGAATGTCAAGCTGTAAAAATACACATTTTACGGCGTCCTGGTTTGCCAGTTTGATCCGACCTTTGTGATGGAGATCATGCCTAATGACACTCGTCACTCAGGTCGCTACTGGCATGGAGACTGGGCCCTTCAAGCGCTTTAAGTTGGCCATCGTTAGAGGGTCATGGTACGTCATCTTATGATATCTTATATATATGTATATGCAGTAAGTTAATTATCACACCTGGAGTGGGAGTCTGGTGAGAGATCACGTTGGACAGCGATCCTTTTTTTCCTTTGCTGCCTCGACATCGTCTCCGTGATCCAGGCCATCACAGGCTCTGTCTCCAGCGGCGTTTGGACGCACGTGGCAGTGGTCTATGGTGGCAGGCGGGGGAGCGCAGGGGAGCGGAGAGCGGAAGGGGCGACGCATCGGTGGAATCCACCAAGCGCAGGTTGACAGATCGGAAGCTAGGAGACCCTAATTTTCGTTTGAGAACTAAGATGTTCAGTTAGCTTTGGTGCGGTGCAAGCCTCCAGGCGCACCGAAGCCTGGCATGAGCGGCTAAGATCTGATCCAAGTGGCCAATAAATCCAGCACACAAACATTCCGACTGACGGAGGACGCACAGAGCCACCGACCTTCCTCATCCCACCATCCCACCATCCCACCGCACGTTGCGCAGCATGAGCGGAACCTTGCGCTTCTACTTGGAGGGTGCCTTAGTTTATGAGCGCCTTGACGTGAATCTGAACCTGGCCTCGCTCCCTCTGCAGTGCGCGGGCCGCGTCTCCGCCTTCGAAGGCCACTCGGGCGAGAAAACTCAATCGACAGCGGGAGTGCTTTCGTGGCCGTTTCTTGCCGTCGATGCTGTCGTTTGAGGCAACGCTTCTGATGGATACATGGACTTGGATGAGATCCGCTGGTACAATGTGCCCTTGAGTTCTGAGGACGGATGTCCTGCCATTGCAGCGCAGCTGGCATGGGGGATCTGTGACAGGTTTTCATGGACTTGCTAGGGCCGAAGTCCCCAAATAGAAAACAACACACCAAGACCATCCACAGAGTGTCCAAGATCCCTTTTATGAAGTAGTGTAGCATAGTCCATTGGACACCCCTTGGATGCTTGGATGGTCCCCACCTTGGTTTTCAGGACGTCGCGGCACTCTTCAACGCTGCGGACGGCGGAGTCTTGGATGCCCAGCAGGCACCTGGTGCACCCATTGGCATCGCGGTGGAGGCGACTGAGGCGAGGCCAACAACGAGAGAGTCTGCAAGAGATGACAGGAGATTGAATTATATTTTGAACATGTTTTCTGAGATTGGACTCGACCAACAGGTAATGATGGTGGTGATGATGGTTTCTGGAACATTTGCAGGTGCATAGGAGATTTGTTCGAGAGTCCAGGCAGTGATTTGGTTGTGAATCGGAATAGGGAGCCCTTCCAACAGCCCCCTCCCACCACTATTATAATCAATTATATATATAATCTATTATATATATAATCTATTATATACAATCTATTATATATAATCTATTATAGCCTTGGACTCTTCATATTTGCCTCTTCGGATTCTGCAACAGAAATCCTGTTTCTGTCTTGTTTGACACACCCTTCCGCACCCCAAGATCTCTCGCTTCACGTCTCACGTCATCGCCAGAACCCAAGCGTCTTCACCGTGCAGCAGGGCAGCTTTGCCGCCGCCCCGGTGCCACCGCAGTTCATCACCAGCGGCGGCCAGTGGAGGAGAAGCAACCGAGGAGCCGGCGACGGCGAACGTGTGAGCGCCCCAAACGCCTACGTGGTGTAGTTGGTGTCTTCTTGCTATGTTTTTTCCGGTCATGATGCACATATTGCCATATCAGTTGATTTGGGTGCCCTTGGAATTTTCACGTTCTTGGGTATGGTACGGGGGAATTACCCGGTCTGTTTAAACTGTCAGTTTCAGGCAGTTACAGCCCCTCGCCTTGCCGACACAGATGCGAAGTTTGGTCAAAGTTTGGAGGTGAACGCAAGTCCAACGCCTAGTCCTTTCACCAGCATTAAGTACAAGACAGGCATGAAAAAACCATGAAAGCCCCGTGGGCCATCTAATTTGGGCGGTGGAACTCCGAGCTGTTCACGCTTTTGGAATCCGGTTGGCAGGCGTGATCCGCGGGGAGTTGATGAGCAGCATGGAGCGGAGGTTGAAGCTGTGCTGGGAGCGCGGCAATCGCGCGGCGGACGCCGGCATCGTGGAGTTTGTGGCGCAAAGAGTCTCGGTGGGCAGAGCCACCAAAGTCCCCACTTTATATTTTTTTAACACTTACTGCGTACTTTTAAAGGTTCATATGTTCAATGTGGAAGCTGGTTTGATTTGTGCTGGACAAATCCATCCGAATTGTATGTCCATGTCCATGTCTTTCAACATGTTTGGACAGGTTCGAGAAGACTGGAATTGGTCTCCACAATCGCCGTTTGGTGCGTGTTTTTGGCCGTCCCAGCTGAGGCAGTATGACCGAGCTGGGCATTTGGCCGACGCAGCGGGACCGACCGGTGGGACCTTCCGGGTGGGACCTTCCAAAACGGCCATGCGCGGCTTGACATTTTGACGCATCTACCAGGTATACCATGTCCTTTGGAGGGTTGTAACAGTTGTAGCAGGTCTTAATTGGACTTGGCAGTGAGTGAGGGTGCTGGGAATTGGTTCCTCCTGCTACATTCGACACTGGCTGAATGATTCGTATCGTATAGTGCAGCTTTTTGACTGTTGATAATTGCTGATCTGATATTGGTGGGCAGAGAACGCTGCGGGTCTAGGCAGCTCTCAAGCATGTGCTATTCGGATCTCTCAACAGAGTCAAGTACCAACAGAGTCAACTGCCTACATGAACTTGCTAGAGCGAAGCTATTTGTATTTGAGAGTTTCAAACCAAACTGAAATGGATGTGTTTGGGAATGAGGGTACCCCTTCCAACCAAATGGGCAGACTAGTCTATACCAACGGTCCTAGTTCAGCATATCCAAATTGAATCTCTTGACCAATCCATCGCTGTTGACCAACCCGTTGGACGCTATATCTATAATATAGTTATATATATATTATATGAAAATCATTGACCATCCATGAAAAATAAGTTCACCACCTGAACTGCCACACCCATCCCAATCCTCTTGATTGTTTGAACATGATTTAAACATTTGGATGTTTCATCCATTTGCCGGATTTTCCCGCGTACAGTACCGCCCTTCGGAGTTTTGGGGGACGGCGTTTTGCATTTGTTTATTGTGTGTTTCGCGCATGGGGCATCCAACGGGTGGAGCATGTATGTGGATTCAGAGCTCTTCCGAAGTCCGATATAATGGAACCAGCGAGTTGAAGGAAAGTCCATAAATCTCATGTTTCGGGTCATTAAGATCCTTTTTGTGATCTTGGACGATAGAAATACTACCCGACGAGTGTTCCCAAATTCTCTCAGGAGAGACGGGAGATCGGAGTGTTTCTCGGCCAGGAATGGTCCAAGTCGTCTCCTTTCATCCTCACCTTCAAGACAGGAAGCGCTGAAGCAACGCCTGGCATTCGCTACACACAGGCACCACACGTGCCATGGCTGGCTGACTGGCACCGATGCCGGTTTCGCTCTCTCTCCCATGCTTGACGGAACACGACAAGAACAGCGTGGTTCGGCGGAGGTTTCAGCAGTGTGGAGCAGCATAGATGTGCTTCCTGCGAGAGCATCCATTGTAGACCCCAGAAGGTTGGATTTGGGCACCGCATGACGTCGGATTTGACCATGGCCCCAGCAAGTAGTTGACCAAGGTATATATATATATATATAAATATACATTATAGCCTTCGTAAGGGTTCTCATCCAAGAAAAAAAAGGGTGAGTACTCCAGTAAGAAAAGGTTTGACTCAATGTTCGAGACAATGTTCCAAGATTGCTTTGAGCACCAAGAGCTTTCAGTTGTAAAATATGTCCACCACATCTCGAATCGCACCTTGGCGATTGACCACCGTGGATTTCGCCAGGCCGAAGGGCACATGAGCCTCTCCATCACCTATCTGAACCAGGTGCTTCGGTGGCCGATCGAACGGCACGCAGGAATTCGGACACCTGGTGCTTCGAGATGGCGGAGTATCGTGTGGATCGAGAAAAGACAGTTCTCATGGTTCTTTTGCTGTACTGTTGCTTCCTACATGCAGAACATGTCCGGAACATGTCCTGAAGCCATGAGTGCAATGGGGTGATGTTCCCTTGACTCACTTCCACAGGCACTTGAACCATCTTGAACCCAGAGCATCGTTGAAGAGAAAACGCCAGGCGGCGATCCGGCACATGGGCAGCAGCGCACAGGGGCCCTTTGTGAGCTCCTTCAACCTTGAGAGTGACGAATGGGACGAGGCGGAGAGTCAAGACGTGAACAGATATGTGTTTGCTGGAATCAGGTGAAGGTAGAGTCAAGATCATCGAACCTGGCTGGTCCAATTACCATTTCAATTTGTGTATACTAACTTGTAGTTCCAAGGATTGGGTTGGTGTTTGAGGCCTTCAGCAGACAACTGAACAAAACTTAACCAGTGGCATATAGACCATGCAGTGTATATTTTCAAGTGTCGCAGGCTGCGCTGTTTGTCCCAATGGAATTTTATGGAATCCCACAAGAACCGACCCTAGACACCTTGGGCCAAGAACCTATAAGAACCTTCCATTCTTCCCTGTGCACCGTCGGGTTTCGCAGCGACCCACGAGAACCGTGTCCGGACTCTGTGCGACGCTGTCTTGATGGGATCGCCAGACACCAGGCCAGCCAGAGCACCTGTGGCATCATCTTCCGGGAGTTGTGGAGCAGCGATCCAGCCACATGCTTTTTTCAGATGCGGCTGTTTTTGGGTGTCGGACGAACGTCCAAAGGGGACAGATTCCGTGTTGCTGAAAATCGGGTCTCCCCCGCCCAAGCAACTCGGTATTGGTTGACGTTCACTCGGTATTGCTTTGATGTGTCCCCGGTTTCAGATGCTTTATACGTGCACATTAGAATTTGTATGTATTCTTTCGATTTCCATCGCAATCACGATGTAGCATGAAGCAGGAGTAGAGCGGTGGAGGAGACTGGAGGAGACGACTGCACAAACAAGTTGCGGGGTGATTAGAGAACGACATAAGTTCAGACGTTCCCATTCTTCCCGAAACAAACGACATAAAGGGCACCTCTTGACATAAAGGCCTCGGACTCGTGGTGGAGAGCCAGCGTGGTCCAGACTCCAGACACAGGCCTTGTAGGTGTTTTAAGTATCTGGTCCAAAGCACCAGAGCATGTGAGACTTCGACACCTTTGAGACCATGATGTATTCACTGTATTCTTTCCGAAGTCGAAGGGCATCGATGTGACTGGCACGTATCGCAGAAGCCGGTTTTTGGGATCATGAAGCCACGCTTCCGGATGTGTCCCAGGCCAGGGGCTTTCCTCTTCCCTTGGGCTGCTTCTATCGCAGCCTCACCACGGACATGTCGGGAAGCCCATGCTGGTCCGTCGTTCCACTGTCTCACTGTCGACCGAACGAACCCCTTTGACCTCCTTTTCAGTAGGAACAGACCAGTTGGGGGTTGGTGGTCCAGAATAGAGGTCATTCAGGCTCTAGGTAGGGAGTTCAACGAATGTCGGGAGCATGGCGGCAACTCGTGCTAGAAGACCGTCTTTTTCAGGGTCTCCACGACTCCACGGTTTGGGGGCAGGTCTCCAAGAATGAACTACCTGATCTACCTGCCCGGTGGGCTGGGCCTCCCACCCGCCTTCGCCCGCCTTCCCCACCGCATTCGGCGCCCGCCTGCCTACGGAAAGCTGCGCGTGTGGACGGAGCCGCGAGATGGTGAGGCGCGAGATTGTGGTGATCTTTGAGAAACGGAATGGGCTCTCCCCGGACACGTCCGGCTCCCCAAACGTACCATGCCCGGGGACGAAGAGCTCAGCCGGGGTCAGAAGAGCGACCAGAAGCGTTCATATGGTAGGTTTTGGAATCTGGTTTTGGTACTGCTGGATTCTTATGAGGAATACTATAGGGATCCCTATGGATCCCTTTGCTTGACTGCTTGACTGGCTGGAGATTCATGACATAGATCGTATAATATTATTTGCAGAAGCCATGCGAAGAGCAAAAAAATATTGAGACAAAGAAGGAGAAGTGCATGCCCTCCTGTCAATGCGATCAGGATCCTCATGTGACATCCTGTCTCATGACCGCACTGAGGTCATACCAGATTGTGATGAATGCTGCGACCACCAACGAGATGGTGGCGAACCAGGAGGTAGCTCTTTCTTAAACATGGCTTGATGGGAGCGGAAGGATGACCCCACATCATGGCATGATGTGGATGGATGTCAAAGGCAAATTTTGAGGACAAACCTGTGTCATTTGATGTCATTTGCAGGCCTGGGAGATTCGACGACCCTGCCTTGGTCTTCCATGGGGGGATTGTCCCACAGTCTATCCGCCTCAGAATCCTGGCAAAACCCCATGAAGCCCAACTCTGGCTGCAGATGGCTTGCATGCAAGATACCTGCAGGATGTGCCATGTGCCACAGACTGGATGTTTCCAGATTAAACATTTGCCATCCTCCCCTCCCAGCAGCTTCTATCAGCAGCTCGATCGAACTTGTCACAATAGTTCAGCTATGTTCAGCACACTCAGGAACTCCAATAGCCACTTCAATCCCATAGCCACTTCATCTTCCGCTTGAAAAGTCTCCGACGCGCTGAAGCGCCACTCCCCCTCTTTCCCGGTCACACCACGCGCTTTCCCCGCCATGGTGGACGACCACACCTTCACCGAGCTCCTGGGGCTTCTTCAGGCACCGAGCTCAAGCAGAAGCCATGAGTGCCATGAGTGGTCAGGATGAAGGGGGTGAAGAAAGATGGAGGGGGTCCTATATGGTCCGGATTACCTCAAAGCCACCGAAGCTTCCTCGTGAGTCCACTCGCTCTCCTCTCGCTCTCGCTCGAAATCGGAACCGACCGCCCCACCGACCCCACCGACCGCCTCGCCGCCGTGTCGCCCTCGACCGCCGAAGGACCAGAAACCCGAAGTGCGACGCTTCGCCGCCGAGACCGTGCTCAGTCAGACCGAGGCGCGCGCGTGACATGGAGGTGTAGGTCGATTGGTGCGGAGCGTTTGAAAGGTTTGACGGTTTGACCATGTTTGACCTGTAGGGGCCCACAGGTGTTGGTCCATCTTAGGGGCATGAAACTGAACATGCCTGAAAATGCATGAGATGATATGACATGCACGGTATTCCTATTTTGGAGCCATGGGCGAAAGAGCTGGGTTGGCCAACGTCGCTTGTTCTGCTCACAAAGATGAGAATTGGGTGTACACCCTCCCAAGCCAGTATTGCCCCTCGTATGTTTTGCCACCGATTTGTTCAATACAACCTATTCCGGTTTGATGATTTGCGCTGCTCGGGAGTCTTTGGGTTGCTAGCTCTTGTGGAGAGCGTCACGTGTACAATTCCCTGAGCAAGCTGTGCTCACAGCCTTTAACCCTACTGGCACATTCGATGTTCACATTTCAATGCCAGATCCCTCGAGCAGACTTCCGGCCACCCACCATCCATCCGCACGTCGCAAGCGCGGCTTCCACCCCCGGACGTTCCACAAGATCGAGACGTCGGTCGGGCCGACTGCTGCATCAACGCCCAGATCGGGCAGACCTTCGTGAAGCACCGAAAAAGACACCTAGTTCACCTGGGAGTTCCAACGCTTGACAGCCTTTGGATGCTACCGATATCTACCGATCGTCAGATTTTGAAGGGGTGCTTCGTCTCCCCATCTCTCTCCCTCTCCCTCTCTCTCTCTCTCTATGGTGAGAAGGTGATTGAAGACACTGTCATGTAGGTTTTGGAGGGTGTAGTCATATCGAACCTGAAAAGGTCATTGATCCGTATAGGGTCCATCCAGCGCGGAGGACCCCGACTTCCTGGACTTCTGCAAGCGGGAACCGCGGAGGTGCGCTCGCCCGCTGCTGCGCCTGGCGGAGAAGGCCGAGCAGGACAGTGCGGAAGCTGCGGCAGCGGCCGGGGGCTACAGCAGCGGACAAGAGATGCTGGGATTTGAAGCATTGTGGAGTAAAAAGTATGATGGACGATGCTATTTGCAGTTCCAAAGAGGTGGTTTTAGTCTCCAAGTGAGTGGTAAAACATAAAGAAGCCCTTCCCTCCAACAGGCACCTTCCTGGAACTGCTGGTACAGTTGCATGTCAAACAGAAGACCCAGAAAACCAGTTAAAACTTGTTTTGTACCCAAAACGTCTCTGATGCGTGAGTTCTTGTTTAGTCACTGATCAGTGTGGGGAGCCTGCATTCCCTTTTGTTCTTGCGTACCGTCCATGAAAATTCCCCGAACGACTCAAAATGATGATGGGTATGACAGAAGGTGAGACCATCCGACGGATATGACAGAAGGTGAGACCACCCGTGGATGAAACAATCCCAGGAAGAGTGAGAAAGTGGCGGCCATCCAGGCCGCCTCGAACCTCGCCGCTGGCGTCCATGCGCTGAAGTGCTTGGTGAACCTCTCGGCAGTGCCGGCGGTCGCCGAGGACAGCGAAGCGCGGGTACCGGGCAGTCGCCCAGTGAGGGTCGCCCGGGATTGATGTGGGCCTTGGAGAAATCAGATTGAAGACATCGGGTGGAATGGATGTATACGATCAAGATGAATCAAATGGCTCATCGTGCTGTACTAGATGTGTGAAGATTTGCAGTTGTAAGATAGTGCAAGAAATCAACAGCACATGTACAGACATCTAACATCCCTTGGAACTCCATTGCTTCAGGAGCTGGTCTCCTTGAACGCGCCAAAGCGGCTGACTGAAGCCTTACGTGCAGGGTGGTTGGAGGGACGAGCACAGATGGCCCACTGGTACTCCATGCTCTTGGCCAATGTCTCCACCTGCAAGAAGGGTCAGGCACCGCGCTGGTTCAGTCAAGCCTTGTGGCTAAGTAGGTGGACCATGTTGGACTGATTGTCAGCTCTTCAAAGCCTTCAAACCAAACAGGAGTAGGGAGGCGGAGGTCCCTGATTTCGCATCATGAACCAGCTGAGTTTGAGGTCCCTGATTTCTCAAACTTGGCTTTCACATGCCCCAAACAAACTTTGCTGGAGATGGATCAAACACAACCACATTTTAACGGTTGTTTCATGTTGTTTCCCTAAACAGGCATTTCATGTCAATAATCTAAGCTTCTATAGCACCATAGTTGCAATAGCCATCATTTTATGTCATCTTAAAGTTGTTGCTTGAGGCTCCAGGGATAAATCAACAAAACAGATTGACTTCAACCTTCTTATCTTTGCCCGCAGGAGGCACTCTGCGCGGACGAGGGCATGTTGAAGTTTCTCGTGGCCGCCTATCTCACGACACCTCGATTGCCCGCACGCGATGGCTATGAGGACCGAGTTCTCGGCCGTGGAAGGGAGAAGGAGTAAGTGAAAATACCAGGAGGTCCAAGGGGTGGTGTCCATTCTCCACTCATGGATTTCCGGGGTCGCGCTGCACCACCGAGAAACATGGAACGTTCCCCTCTTTCTGTCTGTGCAGAGATGAGTCACACCAGACATTACACTCGTATAATACACGAAATTACACGAATACACGTCCCGCCTGCCAGCAGAGTTCACTTCGCATGTGGCACATGACGTCCAAGTCGTCCTGAAAGAGAACATGAGTCGAAACAAGTTGAGATATGATGAGACGACCAGAGGTCCGGCTGAGATCATGTAGCTACACCCCCCTCAAAAGTTTTCTGTGATTTGTTTCTCTTCAAAGACGGGCTGCCCGTTGTATCCACCGTTCATGTGGCGAGTTGCAAAGTAGCTCCCAGACTCCCAGTGGTGACAGAGACGGACACCTTTTGGACAAGAAGCACTTCAGGGCCGAAACTTCAAGAGTTGCTTCCACATGATAGCCATTTACAGATGCATTTCTGTACACTGAGCCCTTGCACCAAAAAAAACACCTGGAAAATGCTGGAACTACGGCCTGCGGTTTGGACCGTTTTTGACCGTAGTGAGTCTATTCGCAGCTGAGATGCAGGATCCTTTGCTCTGGCTTGGTGCCGTCTTGGTGAATGTCCTGGTGCTGCCCGAAGGCCGCAAGCTCTTGGCCATCGGGAAGAGCCAGGCGAGTGCCGCGGGGACCCTCCATGCGCGGAGAATCGGCAGCCATTCCGTGTGCAGCAAAGCGGATAGTCCAATCAAGTCATTGGTTGCAGTAGATAGAAAATGGGCAACCCACAAGGACATGTAGGAAAACGGACATGGTTGTTGTCTTCCAGATCAAATTCTATCTACTCCATGTCCATTCTTGGCAGACAGGCATGTTGCATAGGGACAATGGGGACCCCTAACAAGGGGTTCTTATCGACACTTGACAGTGCTAGCGTCTCGCCGGTGAGGTCCCGATTCGAGAGCTGAGTGAGACAGACCAATAGAGTTTTCACAAACTAGCAGCGCACAAAGGTGAGTTTTCTTCGTCATTATGATGCCAGGCTTGGCAGAGTGTTGAAATGAGGGTTTTTCTTGACGTGGTCTAGAAATAGGTGGACATAGCCAAACTGTACCTGTACCTCTCAAAAGGTTCACCTTAGTTCAGTAGTTCAGTCCAGACGCCCATCAGGAAGCCTTTCCGATTTCTTGAGATGTTTGCCCTTTTCTCAAGGTGCATCGCTACTAGTTACTACTCGTAGTAGCAAGGACGCTACTAGTAGCTCCTGGCATCGCTACTATAGTAACAAAGGGCATCGCTGCTAGGAGCAAGAAGCTACTAGGAACAAAGGGCATCGCTACTAGTAGCAAGAACGCTACTAGCAGCTCCTGGCATTACTACTAGGAGCAAGGACGCTACTAAGAACAAAGGGGTCCATTCTTGAGATTTCAGGAGTTGGAGATGCTCTTCGGTGAGATGTCCGACCGGAGCCGGCGCGCGGACATGGTGAATGCCGCCAAGAATGTATGTTTAGACATGGCCACTGGGATGCCACGTAGGTCTGTCAGCATCCTGAAGGTAGGTCCATGATGGCCAGTACTATATATATATTATATCTTATTGGTAGGTATATCAGTAGCTCTGTCACATGGTTTTCGGTGTTTACTAAATTGGGGGTAAGGATTAGAAGGACAAAGGAACTTTTGTGAACGATATGGGTTTGACCGGGGTGACCTTCCAAACAAGAAGGGTGGTGATTTTTGGGAGGACACATGGCCTATGAAGAATGAAATGCACATCAAAGTCAGCCAACATCGATCCGTTGCAATGTAAGCTTGAGGAGGGTAAGCACATCATGAATCATGAATATGTAGATTTGCAACTGATGGTGCTCTTCCAACAATGACTTCAAAGTCATTGGCCAATAACTCAGACCATCCCAAGACCAATCGAAGGTGGGTATCTCATATATCCAGACACTGAACCCAGGGACAACACCGATTGTTGCTATTGAAGTGTTATACATGTTCTGTTGCCATTGTGCCACCAGATGGTATATCCATCTACTCCCAACATCAAATATCCATTAGCTACCACGGAGCTGGGTAGCCATCCCTTTCATCATTTTGCGCAGTATGTCAGTCAGTGGCATGCAAGCCATTTCCTCCCCGTCTTGCCTGTTGCCTTGTGACTTCTACGGCGTTCAGCACCCAATACTGTATACACACTGCCGATGGTGTTTGTTTAGGTACCTGTAACTCACTTTTTGCTCAAGCAGCTCCCCAAGCGGTCGGAAACCGGCATATCTCCGTTTCAGTCATCTCTGAGGACTGCCATGAGGCGCTCGTAGCTACTGACCTGATGCTACATATGGCAAGGCGGGGGGTCGTTGTGGAATCAGCTTGTGTGATCAGTGTGATCCACCATTCTTTACGACAGGGCATCGCCATTTTTCTCCTCCAAGGTGTCATATGAAGCTGCGGGCAGGGAGTCTATGTCATCCCGGAAACCATGGAATGGAAGGGTGATGACGTGGTGCCGACATTTTTTTGCAAAACACATCTTTCGCTTGAATCCTTGGTCAAGTTGTGGACAAGGTAAGCAGCGCAAACCCAGGCGCCTTCCTGGGTTTGCCAGGACTGGGACACGGGAGAGTTGGCGACCTGTCTCCAGATGTTTTCCTGGCACCATTACTGTAATTACCAAGGAAGGAGCTCCTAGATGACTGTGGTCACGACACATAAATTCCTGTTGGCATCGCCCACGAAACAGCCCCTCCTGATGGAAGGGGTTGCTGGATGAGTCTTGATGTTTTGGGGCTCCAGGTTTCATCTCCTTTTGGAGGTTCATCTTTGGGGATGTCGGGTTGCAGCTGCAACCACCTGCGCCGGTAGAGGTTCCTTTGTCCTTGGGACACCATGGACACGGAGCATCGCTCCGCTCTGCCGAGCGTTTTGCGCGAGTCTTTGGAGAAGGAGGGTGCAGCCCTCACAGGCGCGGGGCGGAGGAAGAATATCCATATGGGCTTATGGGCATGTATAGAATTCCTGGTTTGCAGTTTGGTTCCTCAATTTGGGTCTCTTTGGCGCCCAAGACATGTTTGGGTCCATGCGTTTGCACTGGGGGGCATGTGTTTGCTTTTAGGCTGTCTTTAGTTGGCTGTGACTTCTCGGGGTGCCTCCGCGCAACATGCCAGGGGTGGATGAGGGTCACAGCCCACACGCGCAGTTTTCCAGGCTTCCATTTGGCAGCAAAGCAAGCGCGAGGGTGCTGAATATGTTTGCTTTGGTACTCAAACCTGCGCCTTGTTTACCTCAACCACCGTACTTGTAGCGTCTCTGTAGTTTCGTCCTCGCTAAACTTCTCTCGGTGAGACGTCCTTGCCTTTGGGCTTGGCGGCGGGCTAGTTTAAAGCGTTTCTCACTGTATGTTTGAGCTTGCGGTTCTGTTTTTGAATGTGCTTTGTGCCTTTGAAACGTGTAAACTTATGACGAAGCAGTCCTTGATGCGCATTAGCGGTTTTGCTTTTGTGAGTTCCACAAAAGAGCAGCAAACAGTGTTTCATTTTTGGTGGTGTCACCAAACACACAATGTCAAGCAAACTTTTGTAGGCCGTCCGTGCTTGCTGCACACAACTCTTTTAAGTTTCTGTTGCCAAGCAAAAGGCTCAATCCAACAGAGGCACTAGTAAAGAAGTGAAAGAAAACCCAGACCTATTCGTGCTTCTGCAGGCCAGGAACAAACACAGCAACCAACAGGACCACTCAACAGCAAGTCTTCCCCACACGCAAACGCAACAGAAGCTCAGATGTTTTTGTAATAGACGCTTCGAGCGCCATGACTAGTTCTTGCAGCTGGGTCTTTATAAGCTGTCAAGAGGATTGGGTCTCTGAACGTTCGGATCGATGGCATTTAGCATTTTGCAAGGCCAGGATGACTCCATTTCAATCAGAAAGTTTTTGCAGAAGACAAGCGGAGCATTCGACTCTTCGTGACTCTTTTGAAAGCGTTGCTACAGAGAATAGGCCTTGGTTTGTCCGCTGCATTGCCTTGGTGAGCCCGGACCTCCCATTTCAAGATGACCTTTCGCCAGGTTGGTCAGATGGGGCCATGAAACTCAAAGAAGTGATGTTTGGGGGGCAACAAGACGCTTTCGCTTTGAAAGTGCACAAAGTTTTTTGCATTCCACCCTGGGAGAACAAGCCATGTTTAAAACATGTAGCTTTCCCCCGCAGACACGCCAAACGATCCAAGCAAGAACGTTGGAGTGAAGCCTGGGTTGGGTCTGAGAACCGTAGCCACAAGAAAGCTTTAGTGTATCGAATTCTTGGATGGGAGCTTCAAGGTGTGGAAGCCTCGCACGATGCAGTAGCATCGCTCTATGTTTACAGGCCTCTGCGCCAGGAACTCGGGTTCCAGATGTTGCAGGATGCTGTTGCTGCAGAGCCGGTCCCAGTAGAAAACCTGAAGGGTTTGCCTGTGTTGTGCTTGCCATCGCCTCTGGCGTTTGCAGTTTCGTGCGGTTTGTGTGACCAAGTGCCCATGCTAGCCCGGTGGACGCATCCTTTTTTCCCAACATTGTCAGAAGGGTTGCCTCAAGCTTGGCTGAATTCTCTTTCTGAGCTTGTTTTAGGGGCTGGAAGCTTTGTTGCCGAAGAGAAGCTCCTGTCTTACTCAGCTGGGGAAAAACTGTTGGCACATCTGAGGAAAATGGGCTCTCAGGTCCTCGCCAGTGTGCTGGATGAGGACATTGCGTCAGGCATACGGGCAGAAGTCATTGAGCACCTGCAAGCCTTAAAAAACCATTTGTACGCATTGGAGGTTGCCAAAGCCCCACAAGTCAAGAACCTCGCTTGTTTGAAGTTTCCTTCAGACTCCTTTGTTCAGCAAATTCTTGCCAGCCTGGATTTGCGCAATAGAGCAAAACTCCAACAGCATGCTACAAGATTCGTGCAAATGCTGCCCGAAGCATTGAAACCATACCTTCAAGCTTGGACCTCAACCAAGATTGCCAGCGGAACAACACTCCACAGAGGGCAGTTAATGTTGGATGTCGGCTTAGAATTGTTCCACCGCGAGCGGCTTCTCGATGCAGGGAAAGTTTACAAGTATGCCTGGGGAGATTCTACAGACAAATGGGGTTTGGAGATTTACAACGCCCGTTACAAATGGGTGAAACAGTCTGATTGTGTGCACCTTGCTAGAGCTTTTCGCTTTCTGTGCGCTCATCCATTTGAAGAGGATATGAGCGTGGATGTGTTGGAAAAACGACGGGAGTGTTCAACGAGGCTGTTCCAATCAATCCACCTCCACACTCTCACTCCGCAGCTTTTAGGTGACAAGAAAACAAGTCTGGTTGACAAAGTGTCAGCCCACGTCCATGCAAGTGCTTTGGAAAGCCTTAACCTCGAAGGCCTGGATGAAAACTTTTCCAGTCATGTTGCATGGTGTAGCGACCAAGGTGTGGAGGCGGGCCTGCCTAACTTCCACGTGATGCATTCAGAAAAGGTTTTGCCGCTGTGGCTGCAGCAAGCGAGGGTTGATGCGCAAACTGAAAGTGATTTTTATGAAGAAGGTGCAAACTTCGAGCCGGAAGCCGATTGCAAAAAGCCTACCCCCCTTATGCCTAACGCAGTCCAAATCCCTGGAGTTTGCCACGCTGTGCACAACTCAACTTTGGGGCTGGATGCTGCTTTCAAAGGTTTTAGCGAATTCTTGGACAAGTTGAAACGCCTTTACTCCTTTCTGGGCAACCGTTTGAGATGCGAACGTTTTGTTGAGGTGGTCATGCGGGGGTCCCTTCATTATGAACACGCCAAAAAACTGTTCTCGAGAAGCTTGACGTCCATATACACAGAGCGGTGGAATGTTCTTGCAATTTGTTTGGAAGAGTCCTTACCCCTTTTCCTCTTCCTTCGCGCTCATTGGGATGAGGCTCGATTTGCAGACAAGGTTGACCCTGACCCTTCGGCCAAAGACGGATGGGCGCCGAAGAATGTCACAAACATCCTTAGGGACAATTATTTCCTATCCTTTTGGCGGATGCAATTGAGTTTGCGAACATGCTTGCTTGATTTCCAGTCATGGGCTGAAGGTTGCAGTTGCCATGGTGGCATGGCCTTTGGTGACAACACAGCTCTTGCCAGCAAACCAGTTTGGAAGCTTGAGCAACTGCTCCAGTCTGAAATCGAATGCCCGTGTGATGTTGCTTGTCGTTGCCCGATGGCTGGATGCCAGGCCCCCTTTTTCGCTTCCAATTGTTTGTTGAGCTTGGAGAATTTTCTCAACAAAAGAAGTGCTGATTTTCTTGTTGATTGCGAAGAGCGCTTGAGCACAGAGGAGTGGTCAAATTTGCTGTCAGAGTGGCAGCATGGAACATCTGTTCTGCTTGAGCAGCTGCGTGCCAGGCTCGACTTCTTTTCGCACCTACCTTGGATTCTCTTTGCAGGGGCTCATCCTGTGCCTTCCATGGCCAGGCAAGGTCTTCGGCGCGCTGAAGAATTGTGGAAGGCTTTGCCTCCTGATGTGAAAGTGCAGCAGCATGTTCATGTGCAAAATCTGTTTGGTGGTCATGACAGTGTCTTGAATGCAGAGTTTGACGCCTTTCTTGCTTCAGACAAGGCCCTGGAAGAGTACCCTCGCTTGGAAGAGTTCTTGGCGCCGTTTACTTTTGTCCAGGTGGCTGAAAGGTTGATTGAAGCTGCTCACAAGGATTTAGGCCAAACTAGGCCCAAGAACTTTAGCATGACCACCTTGTCTCTGAACATGCGAATGCCTGAAGTACACAAAGTTCTTTCCATGGAACATGCAGCTTTTTCACATCTGGTTGAATCATTTAGCAACGCTCGTCGACTTCGACAGTTTGGCGACATGTTTCCATGCCATCGCAATCACCCAGACCTGATTCAGTTGAGTAGGTGCAGGGCCAGCGATAAACATGCTGCGTTTGTAAGACAAGTGCTGTACAGGGACCTGCGTATGCAATATTCAGAAAACCAAGAAGCAGTTGCTGTTCACGAGAAGGAGGCCAAAGAGTTAGAGCGTGCTCGCGCCAAGCACAACGGCAAATCTCCAAAGGTGACAGAAGAGTTGCTGGTTGCTGGCTTAGCTTGCGATTGCATTCGGAACCTTGCTTGGGAAACACCAGGCACCGTTTTTTCGCTAAAGAAGCCAGGCAGTGACTTAGACGGGAAGGTTAAGCTTTTTTCTCCAGTCCTTTTGCAGCCTTCCCTGTTGAAGCAGCCATCGCATGCCCCAGGGACCCTGAAAGGTTATCAGCGCAATGATGTTGTTGTGACAGTGTTCGCAAACCAAGGCACTGCCCAAGCACCGATTGTGTCCGCCATTGTTCTTGGCAAGACAGAAACTCTGTCCTTGAATCTGCTTGTGCAATCTTTGGGCGTTGATGTTTTCCTTGGAGGCCTCAGCTGTTGGACCAAGAGCGGTGAAGTGAAATATGTCTTGCCACTCATGGGCGGTAAAGTCTCAAATGTTTTGCGCAAAATGGTTGAGTGCGGCGCCTTGCCGCAAGCTTCCACAAGCTTTGTGCCTTGTCAAAGTGACTCGTTTGCCATCGAGATTCTCGATACTCATGGCTTTGTTGTTGAGAGAGGTGGTGGCTACGGCCTGACTGAAGTTGCGCTAAGGCGCATGGATTTTTTGAGGTCGCTGTCATCGCCTCATTGCCTTGCTTCATCAGAGGGCTTGTCTCTGGCTGACATGTCAGAGTTGCAGCTGCTCATGCGAATGCGTTCTGAAGGTTGGCGTTGGTCACTCAAGCCAGCAAAAAAGCAGCGAGAGTTGGCTTTTGTTGTTGGACAGGAGCGTGTTTGGTTCACTGCTGGAGTGACTGTCTCCCGTTGGTACATGATGTGCTTGCTTGATGCTGAGAGATTGAAGCGCAACGGTGTGTGTGAACTTCCGCATGGGTTGCCCAGTGAAGCTTATGAGTTGATTTTTGGCGGCGCTCTTCCCTCCGAAGCTGTTCGGACATG